CATGCATTATCAAACAACCAAATGGTACACCCCTCAAGCTTGTCCTCTGGCCGTCAGCACACAGCCCTTCTCCTTCCCAGAGTCCTGAGTCCCCAGCTGCTCTATCTCTCCACGTCATCATATCTGCCTCCATCTGTGGCGTCGCTGCTTCCCTGGATGGATCTCGCACTCTGCTCTTCTCCCTTGATGGTCCCAGGATCCTCCGCTCAAAAGGCTCCTTTTAAACGTGGTGGTGGTGTGGTTATGTGCTATAAGTTGGTTCCAATTCACAGCAGCCCTGCATAGCATTTCTGAGGCTGTGAATCTTTACAGGAGCAGAAAGCCTCATCTTTTGGGGGCAGAATGGCTGGTAGTTTTGAACTACTGACCGTGAGATTAGCAGCCCAACTTGTAACCACTACGCTACTACCAGAGCTCTTTTTTAAAACCTAACGGGATTCTAAAACAAACCAACCCTCTTTGCAGGGTCCCTTCTGATCATCCCGCCCGGGTGGTGGCACTGTAGGATGACGCTTGGCAATTCAAACCCACTCTCCAGGGTCCCTATGAGCCAGAACTGACTCGACAGCACATAACAACAGCAAAGTCATTTATTTGGTGGGAGTTAAGACTTTGGATAGAAAAGCCATATCATGTACAGAAAGCCCCCAACCTGCCTGGCCCACACAGGGGCCATTTTCCCCTGTACCTGGTGTTCGCCTGGCTCAGCTGGAAGGACCCTGGGTTCTAGGAGTCAGCTGACAGTGCCTGTCTGTCAGTCTGTTGCTCACCTCAGCTCCGTCTCCTTTCATGAGGGCCAGGTGGCTGGAGGTGGGGTATTAATTTCTGGGCAGGTGTCCCTGTTGGCATGGCCACGGGGCTGACTTAGCACCTACGGAGAAGCTCGGTTTCACTCACATGCTAGCCTAAAAGGTTGACAGTTCAAACCCACCCGGAGGTGCTTCAGAAGAAAGACCTGGTGACCTGCTTCCCTAAAGTTTGCTGCGAGTTGCCTTCCAGCGACTCCACGTGGAGCGTAGAGCTGCTTTGTAGGGTTTTCGCCAGGCCTGTCTGCTGAGGTACCTCTGAGTGAAAGTTGGTTCAAACCCCCAACCTTTTAGCTAGAAGTTCAGTGCCTGACTGTTTGTATCCCCCAGGGGATCCGGAAAGATGGTGGCCCACAACTCCTTACAGAATACAGGGGTTCTCCATGAGGCCAAATGGAGGCGGTCGTGTGTTGGGGATAAGGGGGCATTTTAAAACAGGGTGTTCGTGGTCAAAGCTGAGCAAGGCAGGGACCTGCCTCCTCCTCCTCCTCTCTGGCGCAGCAGCTGGTGTGGCGAGTGCTGGGCAGCTGCTGCTTGTCCTCCCTGGTGGACCCCTCAGAGGGAAGCTCCACCCTGCAGTCTTCTGTGATGTCTTCAGAGCCCGCTGTTCCCCTGGGCCCACACGCCCTTTGTTCATGCATCTTGCCCAACTTCCTTTCCGCGACTATTGAGAAACGGGGCCAGGAGGCTCCAGCTCGGGAGGCCACGCCGGTGCTCTTTGTGCTGAGGTGTGGTGAGCTGGTGCGGACCATAATGGGCCAGGTTCAAGGCCACTGGTGAGCCAATGCGCCCTACCAATCAGACTCTGACCCTCCTTCCGTGAAGGGCTTCCTAGGCGTGTGTCCTGGGGTTAGGCCGATTATTCCCAGCCCACAATAAGGGCAGCAGGTGGTGCTTGTTGGGGGCAGCGGTGACTACGTGCACCCCATGAGCAGCCACCACCATCTGTCTGTTTGTTGAGTAGGGGTGCTGCTCTGATGGTGAGCAGGTGTCAGCAGAACTTCCAGAGTCTTCAGGACGAGGAAGAAAGTCCTGGTAATCAACTTCTGAAAATCACCCAACGAAAACCCTGTGGTCCAATCTGCAATCATAGGGACAGCCCAGAACTGGGCATGTTTTCTTCTGTTGTGCACGGGGCCACTGTAAGTCGTTACCAACTGGACCACAGTTGACAACAGTGTGTGTGTGTTGCACACTTGTACTGCCAGGGAACATGCTTGTCACTTCCCCGCCCCATCTCATTGCAGCCCATGAGGACCCTCTGAATTGAGAATAGCATCCCCCTGCCTTATTCTGGTAGGAGTTGACAGACACAGTCCAAGAGCCAACTCTGGCTCTTCACTTTTGTCAATAAAGCTTTATTGGCACATAGCCATGGCCCAGTTGTTGGTATAGGGCCTGTGACTGATCTCCAGTGAACAATGTATCAGAGGCATGTGGTTGGTAGAGGTGAAAATGAAATATTGAACATTTGGTCCTTGACAGAAATTTGCCGAGTCTGTTCCCATTTTGGGAACCAGAGTTGACTTTCTCTGGCTGGCTGTCACGCCTGCTTGTCCAGACGTGGGTGTGGGGAAGGAGGTAGGAGCTGCTCTCCGATTTTGCCTCCATGGCTGCTAAGGGCCCAGAGGAGGGTCTGCAGAGGGGTTCAGTGAGGGTGCCAGCTAGGAAGTAGCTTCTTGGTAATGGGGCACCCGGACAGCAGGAGCCGGCGCACTCTGCCTGGCTGTGTGGCACCAGGCCCCTCCTTCCCTTCTCCCTCTGGGCTCTGGAGCTCTGGAGCTCTGGAGTGTGCCACAAGTGTGGCATGGGGCAGGCGCTCCCCTGGGACAGGAGACATCTGAGTCACTGCAGGAGGCTTTTGGGAACAGGTGGCTGGAGGGGAGGGGTGTTCCTGCCATTCCTCCCCTCATCCCCCAAACCATCTTCGCTATTGTCTCCTGGGACTCCCTGCCTAGCATGGGGCAGAACAGGGCCTGAGGTGTCACTGACTCGCTCCCTGCGTCTCCTGAGACCACCCTCCTAGATCCCCTATGCAGACCTAGCAGAACCTGCCAGCTAGGAGCAGCTCTGTCCACGGCTGCCCACCTTTGTGGTCAGTTCTATAGAGTGGACAACAAGACTGTGGGCCCAGCACTAAGGCCTCATGAAGATTCACACACACACACGCCAACTCCAAGGACTGTCTGGGGTTGGTCTGCACAGTGGTGGTGGGTGCATTTGGGACCCATTGTTTCTCGTCATAAAGTTGGTCCTGACTCATGGCAACCCCATGCACACGGAGTGAAACGCTGCCCTATTCTGCCCAGTGCCCACGAAGGGTTTAGGATGGGTTCCAGAAGGCTTGTGTACTCCATGCTGAGGCCACAGTCCCTCCCAAGGCAGGTCCCGGCTTGCCCCAGGATGCCTGTGGTAACAAGTGAGCAAACTGAGTTTAGGAAGGATTGGGCCAGGGCCAGGGCATAAATAAAGTTCTATTAGCACCATGCCCCATTTTTCCCCATCTTGTCAGATTTCCCACTGCCTTCTGGCCCCTGAGCTGGAATGCCCAGCTAAGATGCATGGCTTGTGTTCAATTCTTAAAAGATCTTGTAGCCTCACCTGGGTAAGAACCTGGGTTTAAAGCAAGTACTGTGGGTTCAGCACTGGACCACAAGGTGGGTTTGAACTGCAAGGTCGGTGGTCCAAACTCAGCAGTTGCTCCTCGGAAACCCTGTAGTGTCGCTGTGAGTCGAAACCAACTCGATGGTACTTAACAGCAAGAACTGCTAACCGCATGTTCAGCAGTTCAAACCCGCCATCTGCTCTTACGAGAATGATGAGGCTGTCTGCCCCTGTAAAGGCGTCAGCGTTGGGAACTCTATTCAGGGTCACTGAGCTGGGGAAGGAGCCCTGGGGCACAATGGGTAAGTGCTCATGCACTAACTGGCATTAACTGGGTGGTTAGAACTCAGCAAGGCCTGCCCGTATAGGAAACCGTTTGGGCCTGGGTCGCTGTCGATTGACTCCAGGGCGTCCTACAACAAGCCGCTGGGCAGTGGGCTGTGTTCACTGCTGTTAGGGGAGCCTGTCCATCTGTGGTTCCGCTCCACTGGGAGCAGACGAGGAAGGATCCTAGGAGGCTCTCAGACGGGGACCCCAGTGCCTAGCATGGGCTGGCATGGGGGTTCAGGGTGGCGTGGGGCTGGACGCTGTTCCTTTCCCTTGTGGCCTGGCACATACCGAGGTCCTCTCTGGTCTCCACAGGCACGAGGAACGCAGTGCTGAACACGGAGGCACGTACTATGGATGCGGACGTGCTGAGCCGCCGTTGTGTCCTCATGCGCCTGGTGGACTTCTCCTACGAGCAGTACCAGAAGGCGCTGCGCCAGTCAGCGGGTGCAGTGGTCATCATTCTGCCGCCCAGCATGTCTGCCTTACCGCAGGACGTCATCCGGGTGAGCTCGCCCTTCTCTCCTCACCTCCCCCTTTCCCTTTTTCCCACTTCATTGCCTTCTTCCCACTTCACTGCCCCCCTCTCCCGCCCCTGCTTTCCCCATCTCCTCACTTCCGCCTGCACAGCCCCCTTGGCTGGCTTCCAGGCTCCTGCGGAGTCAGCTGTGTGTGATTGAGCAAGTGGCCTCCCCTCTTTGAGCCCATCGGCTTTTGGAAAACAGATGGAGTTTATTGCCCCTAATCCCCTAATCCTTGGTCCACACTCCACACCCTGGGTGTTTTTGCCCCCAGGGGACAATGAGTGACGTTTTGGAGATTTATTACTTGTCATGGTTTGGGGGTGGTGGTATTACTGGCATTGAGTCGGGGGAGGCCAGGGGTGCTGCTCAGCACGTAACAGCCCCAGGACGTCCCACCCAGAGAAGGAGCCAGCCCTGTGTAATCAGTACCAAGGGGAATGAGTTTGATCCCTACCTCACGCCGTATGGCAGACTTGCTTCCCTCTGGTTTACAGTAGGTCTGCCCTCCACCCTCGGCTTGTCTCTCTCTCCCTCGGCTTCGCTCCTCTCTCCTAACTCACAGGATCTGACAGACTTTGAGAAGATAGGGTGGGTGAAGGTGCTGAGACTTCTCTATACTGGGCACTTTGCTGGGTGGCTCCTGCCATCAGTCTGTGAAGCCCACATCACTCACCTCATTTACATCTGCAGAGGCTGGTGCCAGTAGGGGTGGCCCCCAGTAAACTCAGGATCTGAACCCAGACCTGGCTCCTCACAGCCCACCTTATTTCTAAGGCCACCCATCCAGAGGGTCTCTGAGGGGCCTCCTAAGTCCTTGGTCGTCTCTTGGCTCCCCCATCCGTGTTAGGCATCCCCTTACTCCTGGTCCTCGGGTTTCCCCATCACCCAGTTGGACCCTCTTTGCCCTTGCCCCTCACTGCTCAGTGTGACTCCAGGGACCTGGACTGAGGCTGAGAGAGGAGGGAGAGTGACCACGAGGTAGCAGCATTGTATGCAAACCATACCCGTACCTCCACACAAGACCGCGCTAGGCACTGGGGTCCGCATCTGAGCCCCTCCCAGGGTCCTTCCCAGAACAGCTGGACCGTGGGTGTACAGCAGCAAACACAGCATTGCCCAGGGTGGGAAGGAAGGGGAGACCCCGAGAGGAAGCATACGGTCCTGAGAACACCTAAAATAGCAGCCCCTTGGGGGTCCCTGTAACTCCAGGGCTTTATGGGCACTATGCCCCGTCCATGTACCTCATGCATAGCCTTCTGTCTGAGGAGGGCTGGATGCTGAACAGTTTCCAAACTAAAAGACTGGGTAGAAAGGCGGTCATCTACTTCTCTAAATCAGCCAGGAAAAACCCTTTGGATACCAAGGGTCCAGTGGCATGGTACTTGCAGTTGCCATGAACCGAGGGCCTCCTTGGTGGCGGCCCAGCCCCTCATAGAGGTCTAGATGCGCAGGGTGTGGTAAGTGCCGTGATGAGGCCAGCCTATGGCTGTGAGTGCGCAGGCGCTCTCTGACTCACTGACGGATGTTCCTCCCTCCTTGCGGCCCCGCCCCAACCCTGGCTCTGCAGCAATTCATGGAGATCGAGCCGGAGATGCTGGCCATGGAGACCATCGTTCCGGTGTACTTTGCTGTGGAGGACGAGGCCCTGCTGTCCATCTATGAGCAGACGCGGGCGGCCTCTGCTTCCCAAGGCTCCGCCTCCGCCGCCGAAGGTGGGGCTCTGGGGCTCGGGCATTGGGGTGTGGGGACTGAATGGAAGAAGACAACAGGACTACAAGATGGCAGCGCAAGCTCTCTATTGGGGCGTTGCCATGTTAGCATGGGGCGGGGGGCGCCTCCCTGAGGGAGACCTCTCAGAGGAAGGGGAGGCGGTTAATACAGCTCGTGGTGCCTCTCAGCAGGGTGGAAGGGCTCTAGCTCAGAGGGCTCCAGGGGGGTTGGCAGCAGGCTGGGGTCCCTGTCACTACATGGTTCTAGATGACCCGCGTCCCTGGTGGTCCAGGTGGTTAAGCACTACGCTACTAACGGAAAGATTGGCGGTTTGAATGCACTCAGAGGCACCTCAGAAGAAAAGCCTGGTAATCTGCCTTACAGACCCTCTGGAGCAGTTCTGCTCTGCTTACGTGGGGTCTCCGCGAGTCAGTGTCAGCTCCGCAACTCCCAACAGCCTCACTTCTGACCCGTAGCCAGCTGACGTAGGGTATGTAAAGGCGGCAGGTGCTTAGTGGCTACAGATCTGCCTTTGGCCGTTTGTAAAGCACTGGGCATGCTCTCAGTTCAAGTTAGCGCCAGTAATCTGGAGTCCTTGCTAACGGCCTCGCCCCTTGTGAAGAAATGAACCTCCTGAGCACATGACTCCTCCCCGCCCGCCCATAATGAGGTGCAGATTCCTGGGGGCCAGGACTCTGCATTCCCATAGCTCTCGCCGACTGGACGCGCACACACACACACACACACACACACACACACACACACACACACACACACACACGCTCAGACCCGCTCATTAGAAGGAGCCGGAGCCGCTCGCTCCCCTCTTCAGCTGCTTGGTTTGGGATAATGAGGGCGTCCTTCCTGCCATGCGGAACCTCAGCCTCAGACCTTGCTGGGGGTCCGTAGCATTTTCATTGAAAGAACATTGTCTTCACCCAGTGAACACGGAGCAGAATCTAGGGCCTCTGGGGCAGGAGCAGGGAAATGGCCAGTGTTGGGTGCGAGGTGGCGGATATAAAGACCCACCAGAGGCTGAATGTGAATGGATAAGCTGAGTGGTGCTCATACTCTGGAATGTTCTCAGCGTAGAGAGGAACGCCGCACTGATAAATGGAGGAACCTCAGAAACGCCGAGGCTGTCATCTTGGTCCTACTCCCAGTGACCCTCCCCCAAGGTGTCAGAGTAGACTGCACACCTTAGGGCTCTCCATGGCTCATCACCAGACCTTTCTTCCGAGGTGCCTGTGGACTCGAACCTCCAACCTTTTGGCTAGCAGCCGAGTGAAACAAGTCAGAGACAAAAGGACACATATTGTCTGATTCCACTTAACATGGATTTATCTACAAGAGGCAAGTCCATAGGAAGAAAGTAGACTAGCGGTTACCAGGGGGCTTGGGGAAGGAAAGGATGGGAAGCTGACCAAACAAGTGCAGTAAAGGAGCCACGTGAGGTTGTCGCTCCTCATGGGGCAAGACTGGCTGGGACTGTCTGGGGTCCGGCCTGACGCACCGTGCCCTCCACCCTCAGTTCTGCTACACACGGCTACCGCTAACGGCTTCCAGATGGTCACCAGCGGGGCCCAGAGCAAGGCTGTGAGCGACTGGCTCATCACCAGTGTGGAGGTGAGTGCCCCACCAGAGACCCTGACTAGGAGCTGGACCTTTGTGCTGCCGTATCATGCATTTCCCACTAGAGGGAGCTCTTGGCAAAGGCGCAGGGAACGCATCCCCTCTGCTAAGCTCAAAACCCCTGGCAGTAGCTGGACTCCGCACCTCCTCTGCCATCCTCCTTGGGAACCTCCTTGCCCCACCCCACTTAAGAAAAATTAGTGGCCTGTGTTTTCATGTAAAGTTGTGTGGGCACACAGCTACACCTTTTTGTTTCATAACAGACATTCAAACGACAGGGTTGAGTAGTCTCAACAGATCAGATGGACCACAAAGTTGAAAATCCTGACTCACTGAGAAGGAACCTTGGGAGAAAATATATATAGGACCCTGGGCTGGAGCTGGGATGTGCTGTCCCCGCTGGGGTTAGGACCAGGGAGAGTGAGAAGCCCCACGCCAGGACTGGAGTTTGATCTCTGTCACCTAGGAAAGTTCCTCTCAAGCCTCCTTTTTTCTTTTTTTTAAGTAAATTTTTGGGTGAAACATACACCCCTTCACATTTCTCTAGGTCCAATGCAGTGGCCTGGTTACAGGCATCCCTCATCTGTGCACATGAACTCACGGCCCACAGGCTCTTCTCATAGAGTAGGTCTTTCTTCTTAATACCTGTAATACATAAGCTAAACCTGCTGTCATCAAGGCGATTCTAACTGACGGAGACCCCCATAGGACAGTAGAACTGCTCCCGAGGGTTTCTGAGGGGACACACTGACACGTTTGTCTCCCAAGGAACCGCTGGTGGGTTTGAAGCAGTGACCTTGTGGTTAGCAGCCCACTGCTTGACCGACTGGGCCACCCTGGCACCTTATGTAATTAATAGGTTTTTCTAATGGGATGTTTTCCATAATCTCTGCTACTTTTCTTTAGCATTTGTTGCTTGAGGTATTAAGGGAGCAACACAGCATCTAAAACCAAGCCATTTGTCAGGGAGTCGCCACTAACTCCTGGCAACCACACATGCGTCAGAGTAGAATTGTGCGTCCTAGGGCCGGCTGGCCTCCTGGCTGGCTTTCTTTCTCTTTATAGTTTGCTTTGTGAGGTGGTTGAGAACATGTACACAGAACACGCACCGTTTTCAACAGTTTGCACGTACAGTTGAGAGACAACGATTACCTTCTTGGGGTTGTGCAGCTGTTCCCATTGGCTTACTTTGTTCAGATTGTTGCTTCACTGTTGACGTCGCTTGTTGACGTCGCTTGTTGACGTCGCTTGTTGACGTCGCTTGCTGCCGCCTATGCTTCTCACCTAACCTTTTGAGTTGCAGTTTCGGTTTGATCCTTTGGAAGCCGTTTCAAAGAGCACAGTGCTCAAGGCAGACACTCTTTACAGATAAAGCGAGACTATTGTTTGGTTGGAAGGCTTCTGAGAATAGTTTTGGTTGAAGGTTTAAAGATAATCTTGGGACAATAGTTTGGGGGTTCACTCAGCCTCCACAGGTGAATTCCTTTAGAATTTTGAACTTCTGTTCTACATTTCCCCCCTTTTGGTCAATGGAATTTTTAATCAAAACAATGCTTCTCTTTTTGGAACACTCTTCTACTTCACAGACCTCTGAGAGAAAGTGTCACAGGTGGAATCCCTGTTCTCCGCCTTCCCCTCCCCCCCGGGAGTTCCCTAGGAATCGAAGCCATGAAATGAGTGAGGCTGGAATAGGCTCAACATGGTCCATGGAGGGGCATCTCCCAAATGTAGGCTTGAGGTCACCTCACCCACCCTTCCCAACAGTTTGGAACCTACAGTGACAACACCCTGGAGGGGGTGGGGGCTTCCCAGTAGATCCATCATGGACTGTCTCTGCAGGGACGGCTGACCGGGCTCGGCGGAGAGGATCTGCCCACCATTGTCCTCGTGGCCCACTATGATGCCTTTGGAGTGGCCCCAGTATGTATCCCGTGGCCACCTGTCTGCCCATTCAGTGGTGGCATCTGAGCAACGTCGTCCCTGCCCTGCCCACTAAACACCCACACTCAGACCCTTCCTGTGTTCAGATCCCAAGGGTTCTGGGGGGTGGGTGTCACCACCGTGTGGCTAAAAGAGAGGCCAAGCTGGTGGGCTCTCTTTACTTAGGCCCCATGGTGGTGTAACAGATCCCATGGGGGATAGGGGTGGAATTTCAAACGTAGCCACGGATTTTCTCATACTTACTGAGGCTAGAAGTTGGAGTTCAGGCCACAGGCTCTCGGGGAAAATTCTCTCCCCATCAGCTCAGGGCCTTGTCCCAGCTTCTCTACGAGCCACCCACTTGTCCCCCCTATGCCTAATCTGGTCTTTTTCTAGCTCGAATGTGATTGGCTTATGGTCTCATTAATATAACAGCGCTAGTCCCAAATGGGGTCCTGGAGCAACCCTAAGCTCCCTGCCATTGAGTCCATTACAACCCCCAGTGACCTAGTGTGACAGTAGAGCTCTCCCGTCGGCTCTTCTCGGTGGTCGTTTATTGGGAGAGCAGAGGGCCAGGCCTTTCCCACGGAATTTGAACCGAGGTCCCGAGGTTTCTGTAGCTGAGACGGGCTTCTCTTTGCCTGTCTGTCCGCAGTGGCTCTCGCATGGTGCTGACTCCAACGGCAGTGGCATCTCTGTACTGCTGGAACTCGCCCGGCTCTTCTCCAGGCTCTACACCTACAAACGCACCCACGCCGCGTAAGTGCCCCTGGGCCTGGGTTAGCGGAATCCACACACTGACAGGGGAGAGAATCCCAGGGAGGGCATGACACATCTGACCCAGAGGGAGTTTAGCCTGATGGGTGGGTGGGGCAGGGGGAGGACATGTGGTCCTGGCCTCTGTCTTGTGCTGAGGGACTAAGCTTGACAGTTAAGAGTCAGTTCTGGATAGTTACCAGTTTCTTCCCAGTTGACCCAGTGTCTCCTGGAGGCCTGGGTTGGCGCTGCAGAGTAAGCACTGGACTACAAGGTCAGCGGTTCAAACTCAACCAGCCAATCCTCAGACACCTTACACAGGGTCACTAGAAGTCCAAGCAGAGGGAGCTCAGAATCCCTGTCACCCTCCAGGGGACATTGGGCCCTATCTGAAAACATGTGTTCTTGACCTGGGGAGCAGGGTGGGGACCCAGGCCCCCATGTTAGCACCGCAGGGAGGTGGCAGTGGTCGCTCTCAGTGGGCGGTCCTTGTGGGATCTGCGACCTGGCCCTTGTCTCTCCTCCCGCCCAGGATGCTCACCTGTCCTCCCCCGCCAGGTACAACCTCCTGTTCTTTGCATCCGGAGGGGGCAAGTTCAACTACCAGGGAACCAAGCGCTGGTTGGAAGACAACCTGGATCACACAGGTGCCGCCACTGCTGGGGGCTGGGTGGGGTCTCATCCTGTTTTCTTCCTCTCGCCCTCCTCACCGCTACTCCCTTCCCCCAGATTCCAGTCTGCTCCAGGACAACGTGGCCTTTGTCCTGTGCCTGGACACCCTTGGCCGGGGCAGCAGTCTGCACCTGCACGTCTCCAAGCCCCCTCGGGAGGGCACGCTGCAGCACGCCTTCCTTCGGGAGCTCCAGATGGTGCGCAGCTTGGCTTTCGCGGCATGGGTTAGCAGGCAGGAGGTGGTGACCCTGTTCTTCAGAATGGGACACGCCCCATGGACTTACCTTGGGTCCTGCTCCTCCCATCTTCTGGCAACTCCACCCCCTTCTGCCTCATGCCCTTCTCCTGGTAGCCCCGCCTCTTCCTGGGATCAGGCTCCTCCTCCTGGTGGCCCCGCCCCTCCCTGACACCTGCCATGCCACTCAGGTGACCGCCCAGCAATTCCCGGAGGTGCGCTTCTCCATGGTGCACAAGAAGATCAACTTGGCTGAGGACACGTTGGCCTGGGAACACGAGCGCTTTGCCATCCGTCGCCTGCCCGCCTTCACCCTCTCCCACCTAGAGAGTCACCGTGATGGCCAGCGCAGCAGCATCATGGACGTGCGGTGAGGCCTGAGGCGGCGGGCCAGGCAGGGTGGGGCCTTTTCCGGGAAGGTGGCCTGGAGGAGGAGCCATCTCACTGAAGGCATGAGCCAGGGGCTGGCCCACCAGGTCCCTTCTGTGTCTCGTACCCACTGACTTTGTGAGGTTTGCCCCCAAAGTACAACTTGATGGGTTTAAATAAGACCCAGCTTAGAAAAGTACAGGTTAATCAATGTAAAGACAATAAAAATCCCCTCAGCTTGAGCAAACATGATAAATGGAGTGGCGCTGTACCATCAGCACTGGACTGCGAATCACAAGGTTGGCAGTTCGAAGCCATCACCAGCTGCTTGACAGAAACCCTATACAGACAGGCTCACTGTGAGTTGGAACCGACTTGATAACACTTAGCAACAGTAACAGCATGGAGTTTTCAAGGATTTCACTTTCCTTAGATCCACAGTGAGAGCTCAGAAAAATGAAACAAAATATTGCACTGGGCAAATCTGCTGCACGAGATCTCTTTAAAGTGTTTAACACCAAAGATGTCACTTTGAGGACTATGGTACACTTGATCGAAGCCAATAACCCCACATGCATGTGGAAGCTGGGCAGTGAATAAGGAAGATGGAAGAATTGGTGCGTTTGAGTTGCGGTGTTGGTGAAGAATATGAGATGTGCTGTGGCCTGCCGGGAGAGCACGCAGATCTGTCTTGGAAGAAGAAGCGTGGAACTGCTCCTGAAGCGAGGAGGGCGAGACTTGGTCTCTTGTGTTTTGGGCATGTTCTGGGGGGGCGGGGGAGCGGGGATCAATCCCTGGAGAAGGCCCTCGTGCAGGGTACAATTGAGGGTCAGCGACAAATAGACCCTCAGCGAGATGGACTGATGAAGTGGTTGTAACAAGGGGCTCAAATGTAATCTGCCATGAATGGTGGCATCATGTTGGTAAAGTGGACGGTCGGAGAAAGAGGGAGATCTCCAACGACATGGATTGGCACAGTGGCGATAGCAGTGGGCTCAGGTGAAACAACCATTGTGAGGTTGGCCCAGGACCAGGCGGTGTTTCGTCCTATTGTGCTTGTGTAGGGTCGCTATTGGGAAAGGTGTGCGACAAGGTTGTGTTCTTTCACCATACTTATTCAACCTGTATACTGAGCAAATAATA